ACTACCATCAAACAATAAATTAGTACTTACCATTTCTCGGGTGTAAAGTTTTGACGCAATTTTCCAAACAAATATTCCACTCAAGTCATCGGGATGAATCGGCATGTTTTCGTAGTTTCATAACTATCCATAAGTATAATACGTCATGAGGTGTCCATCATTCCATCTCAGTCCCTCTCGACCGAGGTGGTTTTAGTGGATGGAATCTCACGCTGACCGTTTGAGTTTTTCCTTGAAGCGTTCATGTGGAAACTTTCATCTCTTTTCTGTTAAAATTTCTCAAGAAACTCGCGATGACGAGTTTTAACAGTGAAAATGTGACTTCAATACTGATACAGGCTTCCATTTGGGCCGTCATGATTGGAATATTATCCGTAATTATTTTGGCATTAGTGGTTTTCGCTCTTCGATTCTACGTGCGAAGAAAATCTAAGAATGCGCTTCCACACCTCCGATCTGCAGGAGGTAAGGGAGAACATTTCCGACCTGTTGTAGTGGGATTTTTTCACCCCTACTGTAATGCAGGAGGTGGAGGAGAAAGAGTTCTATGGACAGGTATTCGTGCTCTTCAAAACCGCTACAATTTTGTTCGCTGTGTTGTGTACACGGGTGACTCCTGCGTGACTGGGAAGGAAATTCTCCGAAAAGCGGAACAACGCTTCAACATTTCGTTACCTCGATCAGTAGAGTTTGTGTTCTTGAAGAAGAGACGCTGGGTCGAAGCGAGTACGTATCCACGTTTCACCCTCTTGGGACAGAGCTTTGGATCTATGATTCTTGGCTGGGAAGCCTTGAACTCTTATCTGCCAGACATATTTGTGGACACCATGGGCTATGCCTTCACTCTGCCAATGTTTCGCTATCTCGGGGGATGCCAGGTTGGTTGTTACGTTCACTATCCTACCATCAGCACTGACATGTTGTCACGTGTAGGTGATCAAACGGTTTCCTACAATAATGCGGCTTATATTAGTAACAGTCGCGTCCTTAGCACAGTCAAGTCGATTTATTATTGCCTGTTTGCTGTGTTGTATGGTTTGGCTGGCTCATGTGCTGAAGTTGTCATGGTGAACTCGACATGGACCTACGGCCACATTGCATCATTGTGGAGAAGGAAGGACCGGACATCAATAGTCTACCCACCCTGTGACACTAAAGCTTTCCTTGAGCTGCCTATGAAGGTTGATAGTGTTGCCGCTGATGATGAAGGTGATGATGACAGCATCCAGTCCATAGTGTCAGTGGGACAGTTCAGACCAGAAAAAGACCACCCACTCCAAATAGAGTCCTTTCATAAATTCCTCAAATGCAAAATGGCCAAAGACAGGCACAAGTATAGGCTCATTCTTGTTGGAAGCTGCCGAAATGAAGAAGACAAAAAAAGAGTTGATTCTCTTAAGAAGTTGGTTGCAAAGCTTGAGATCAAAAAGAATGTTGAATTTGCCTTGAATGTTTCCTTTGATAAGCTCAAATCTTATCTTGCTGAAGCCACCATAGGTCTGCACACTATGTGGAATGAACATTTTGGTATTGGTGTTGTTGAGTGTATGGCAAGTGGTGCCATTGTCTTGGCTCATGACTCAGGGGGCCCTAGAATGGACATTGTCATTGAATGGGAAGGAAAACCAACAGGATTTCTAGCAAGTGACAAAAAAAGCTATGCCTCTGCAATGGAAACAATATTTTCCCTTTCTCTAGAGGAGAGGAATGTTATCCGTTGCAATGCAAGAAACAGCGTTAGCAGATTTTCAGAGAAAACCTTTGAGAATGGATTCCTTCAATGCACTGAACCCTTATTTATGGGTGCATGAGTCTATCCTCGCTGGATGTAATATTCATGTACTTTCCTGCATCATTGATCTTTTCGATGTGTACCTTGATGAGGGTTTAACCAATTCTCAAAAGTCCACAAAAATTTTTGTTATCACACGAAGAAAGATTTAACATATTTATCATATTCATGGGAAAAACAAATAGATTATTTTTGCCTTTGAGGTTTCAAACCTTAGTCCCTGTTTTCAATTTTGTGGGTCCATGCTCCACCAACTTAGCAACAAAGAACTGAAAAACTTAACCCTTAAACTCTCAAGATCTGATTGTGAATTCTCCCCTCTAGCTGCTACACATTTCCTTGTAAATAAGTTCTGGGAATCTTGAGTTGGATTAGGATAAAAATTTCTACTTGATAAGTTTGAGTACTCTGGTTACCTGTTTGCTGGATTATGTATGGACATGATAGGGAGAACTTTCATCTCAGTTAGGGACGAATAAATGGAGGTCCCATCTCCTGCAGGGTTGGGGCAGGAGACGTTAATTTCCCACACACGAGATTACTGTGTGATGGATGTCCTCCCTTGGGGTGGGATGGGTGGGTAAGGACAGCAGGTCCACATCAGCTATTACAGCTGCCAAATTAATCAACCTGCTAAAACAAATAAATGAACTTCATGTTAATCACTTCTGGGGGTTAAAAGGTTAAGCGTGTAACATACTACAGGGCTGGACACTAACTTTTCAACTTACTAGTGAAGTGGCTAGTGACATCTTCAATGTTTTTAGAAGCTACAACAATTTCAGTCTGTTTACTTGTCAAACTGGCTAGTTGAAATTGAAAACCACTAGCCAAAACTGAATTTCTATGGCTAGTGGGCTACCGTTAGTGTTGAGCCCTGTTTACTAGGTAACTCAATGCACCAAGTGTGGTATTCTGTGAAATTCATCAAAAATGTGCTTGGTACATAATTTGCAATTTAACCTGTTGTTGTTAGCTTTTACACATTGGTGTTTGCCCTGTGTTGCTATCCCACAGATTTTCTTTGGCCATCTTTGCAAATGGAAAGTAAGGTCAGCTTATGGGAGTGGACAGTTTTTGTCGCACACCTTTGCAAAATGCAGCCTGAAGCCAATGTCACAGGGCCAAAGTAAAAAGTTTGATGAGGGTGCCTGTATTAATTGATAGCAAACCTTGCTCGCTACTCTGTTTGGTGATTTGGTCAGCCAAAATTAGTGTTTTTGGTCACTTACTGTCATCAGCCTATATGTAACTAAGCAATAATTTTTTTTAATACTAAATTTGGGTTAATATGCAACTTGTGGAAGGTGTAACAAATTGGTTAATAACTTGAAAACCTCTCTATAGTTCTGAGCATTATACTGCATTGTCAATGGGTTTGCCTAATGCATTTAAATGATTAACATTACTTTGTAACCAATTTCTTGTGGTGAGCTCTTTGCTCTTAAAAGTTCTTAATTTCTAATGTTCTTTATGGCTGGTTTCATTCAAATTTTATTCAGGTGAACCAGAGCTTATTTCTTAATACTACACATGATTGATCATTAAAACAAAAGACAGATGAAATCTCACTTTTACAAGTATGTACTTTTCAGAAAAAAAGTTTTTCCACAAAAGCAAGTTTAAACCCTTTACTGCAGACTCAATACATCATGCTACATTTGCATTTGTGTCAAGTTTTTTAGCAATAGCGTTTGCTCTCATTCATTGATAAGTAGGTGTCACACAACAAAGGGCCTTACCATCGCTAATCATTGCTTAATCGTGAGGTCATCTTTGAAATCTGTGAATAAGTGTAGGGTGATATGTTGAGAAATTCCATGCTATTGATAATATTATTTTGTTATGAAATGACCAGTTTATACTGAAGTTATAAGATTTGAGCTTCATAGATAAAGCTTACAATTATTATAGTTATTTTGAATTCCCTGTAGTTGATTTGAAATACACAAGGTTATTCATTAGAAATGAAATGTCAAGATAGTACATGTACGGTATTTTGAAAAAAATAGAAGTTATCGGAATTGAGCATCATGGCAAAATTATTTTAAGAGTTACTGAATAAAAATAAGACAACTATAAACATTAAGAAGCATCTGCCATTCAGTTGTTTTGAACTATATATGAACCAAGTCAGAATTTAATGTCACCTCAATAGTACAATAACAAACATGCATTGATTGATTTCAACACAAATGCCTTTGGTGACCTTTTAAAAGGGTGGAACTTGAATCGTTGTATGTGACTTTCTGGTTGATTTTGACTGAATCTGCACCAATCTGAGGTGGGAGTTCAAAAAGGTTTTCGTGGTCAACCATGTTGCTAAACATGTTTAATCATCAGTCTTTTCTGGACGATAGCAGAAACTGCAAATCTAGATGACAATTCAACACATGGAATGTTTTCCTGCCTTGCATAGCTGTACTTCATATGTTTAGGTTTTTATCATCTTTGCTTAACTTGCGGCAGCATATGATAAAAATGCTATGCTGATGCTTCATGGTGTGATATGGAGGATGCAGTCCTGGCCCTTTACACCCTAAGATCAGCATCCATATTTTCCAAACTCTTCATCATGCATTTCTTTTAATACTGACAAGGAGAATTTGTTAACTATCAAAGCTTCTAAGTTCAGCAGTCATTTCTTTTATTCTTCAGACCTTGATACTTTAACCTCAAAAAGTGACTCACTTCCAATTACCCTTACAATATCACCTTTAAATGAAACATTTCTGGTCACAAGAATAAAGGTACTGATCACCATGTAAAGAAGCCCTTGACTGTTGAAACAAGTGAAATTTTCTTTTATGTCAGCATCACAGGAAATGTCTAGAGAACAATATGGAGAACATGCATACTGATGTTATGGCCTAAGCAGAATGTGAGGCAGACAGAGGAAAACTGCTCTTGATCCTGGCAGTATATAGCCCAAACACAGGGAATAGAGGTGGTGTGCGTATTATGAAATGCCAACAATGGTGCAATTCAAAATGTTTCTGGGTGGTAAACATGAAGTCTATTTGAGCCAAGAGCCTCATCCAGCTGGTCTTATCTCAGTTTCCTTAGCATAAACAACGAGGAGTATGTACATGTAGTACTCCTTGCCCCCCTTGGATGGGATGCTAGTCCATTAGCATTCTATCAGGCCTCCCTGACAGTTTTCTGGTTCCATTTATACACCTAGGTGCAGAGGGACACTTGCAGGAAGAGAGTGTTCTGTCTAAGAAAATAACACAATCACCTGGCCAGGTCACAGTTTCAAATCATATCAAATCTAGTTTAATGCCTATACCCAGTTTGTAATGGGAGTGAATCGGTTTCGGATTATATAGAAAATTTTACTGAGGTTAGGTGTGTGATAGACCTTGTAGAGGTCCCTGATCCCTATTGTGCTCTTCTGAATTCTTAAATAAATAAAATAACATTATTGCTTGAAGTATAAATATCTTTATTATTAATACAAGTTATCCTCATCAACAAGTTGTTATATTTCCAGTTATTTTTTTCACCACATAAATACAATGTATAACTTGCAGCCATAAAGCCTTACATCCAGGACTACTTGGATGTTTACACAACCTCCCATGCAAACTTTTCCCTGTCTGTCAAAGTAAAAGAACGTAACAGTCATAAGTTTAGCATAAACATTATAATTATAATGGTTACTAGCGTCAAGACCAGATTTCAACTGATAACAAGACAGGTAAAGGAGAGTAAGAATAGGGGGGAGGTTCTTATATTCATTTGATTGTTGGTTCGAGTTTCATTATCTTGACTGTAGTCGGTTAAAATTTTCAATCTTCGTCGGTAGTTGGTGAATCTCAGTTGGTGAATCTCAGTTTATGATTAAAATTGCAAGTTAATCATCCTAGCTAACCATAAATAAACTTTGATGAATGGAAATTCTATGTCTAATGGAAACATAAATTTAAAGAGGCTATATAATTATTTCCCAAGCTAGAATGCTCTTCTATCCGAATAAAAATATCAATAATGTCGCACCATGTCAGTTCTCAGTTAGCATTTAAGGCAAATATTTCCCCTTTCAGGTTAGTGCATATACAAAACAAAATAAGAACTTTGAATTCCCACAGAGTGGTAAAGGGGTCTAAATACAAGTATCATAATTAACCTTCCCTAATGGGGCCAAGAATGCTTCTATCCTCCCAAAAATGATTAACTTACCACAGTTTGACAAATACTCTGCAACTTTCTGCTGACTGTTGGCTTTGGCCATAGCCATTGCTGTGTTTCCTTTCTTTGATTTCAATCTGAAGTCTGCCCCTTGCAAAACTAAGTACTTCACACTGGTCAGATGGCCATTTCTTGCCGCAACATGTAGTGGCGTGCAACCAGATATGTCTGCCAATTCGACATCTCCACCATGCTGAATTAGAAGTTTAAGGACTTCAAGATGTCCATTTGCCGCAGCCTTGTGCACTGCTGTGGAGCCAGATTCATCAAACTCTTTTGGACTCTGAAATGAATGTTACAGTTTACCATATGGAAACAAGACTTGAGTTCAGAATGGCAAAATAATCATGAGTGTCCTTAAATAACCCTGCCAGACCTCGGCAATCTCTGCAGTTTCTTTAGCAATAATTGTACAGTTTTGGAGAGGCCGGGATTTTGATGAAAGGAATGAAATTGAATCCAAGCTACCAGTAGTTTTAATAGCCCTTGATTTCAAGAATGTTAAACTAATAAAAGTATTTCTTCATGGTACTAGTTTAAATCAAAACCTTTTTTAAAAAATGTTTCATTTCTTGTAAGTTATGGCACTAAGCTCCCTCCTGTTTCTTCAGGAGTAGCATTTCCCACTTAACCCTTTTCCACCCAAGATCTCAGTGATTCTCCTTACTGTCTGCCATACAGTACTTATGACCATAGCTTGGAGAATTTTGCACTGGATCAACCTAATATTACCTAACTGACATTTTTCTTTCTTCTCACCACTTGTCTGCTTGATTTTGTATTGATAAATTCTGTCTTGGTCACTCATGGGAGTTAAAGGGTTAAAAGTCCATTAGATCATGGACCGAATTTTTTACAAAACATTGAAATATATAGTATTTATGTTGCAGGTAAAAATTAAATTCAGGTAAAAAAAATTTAACCTAGTAGGTTGAATTTCAATTCTCTTTGTCTCCGAGCTAGGAGACAAAGGAAATTGATTTTCAACCTAGGTTAAATTTTTTCTTACCTCAATTTAATTTTTACCTGCAACATTTACATTCTTTGAGCACAGGGAGGGTACCAAGCTACTGATCTTGTGACCAACAACCGATAACAAAATGTTTTGACACACTGATCTTTTCAACCCCTATCAGTTCATTTTAATAATCTCTTTTACCCTACTTAGGTTAACTATTTCACCCCCTCACTCCAAACAATGTTGTGTTGTGATTACATGAACTTTTAGCCAACATTGAATTGGAGGAAGGGGATCTGTTAATGATTTAGAGTGTGATGGAGACAGGTCTGTTATTCTTCACATAAAGAGAACTTTTCAAACATGATGTGTCAACTAATTTTAACACTGATTGTAATAATAAACTTTAATAGCTAACACAATTACTGGTAACCCAGTAGTTTACATTGTGGGCTGTATTAAAAAGAATTGTAAAAACTAGATTATCAAGAACAGCATGCACATAAATATATTCAAAACGTTCTAGAGATAATAAAATGTTCACGATCTGAATTTAAAAAATTGTTCACTAAAACTTTCTTAAAGTTGCTTTCATCTGTAACAGTTTTAAATTTGTCGTCCAGATGGTTCCATAAGTAAGTGGCACTCGCATGAAATGTGGGAAGGCCTGCGTTAGAGTGACATTTCAGCACGGCGAGATGATCATGGAAAGAAGCTCACGTATTATAAGAATGGGTGTTTTTAACATAAGTTCTATAGCTTGTAAAATAATGCGGACTTTCTCCATTCACAATTTTGAACATCATGCACAATTTCTTCATGTGTATTACATCATCAATTGGCATCCATTGTAGTTTCTTGAACATTTGAACCGAGTTATTGTGAAAACTAGCATCTAATAATAACCTACTACAACGTTTCTGCACTTTAAGTTTTCTTAACAATTGGTCATTAGGGGCGTTACCCCAAACCGTACAGCAATATTCAAAGACAGGCTTAATAAGCACATTAAATTGTAGCCACTACTGAGCTTCCTTTGTTAAACATCCCTCTAACTTTTAAGAACCCCATCCATAGTTTAAAATCTAACTCTGTGAGGAAAATTCATACAGGTTTTTATTCAAAAATCAGTCTAATCATCATGTATAAAGTAAAATTTAAGCTAGCACCAAGCTTA